AGGTGGCTCAGCAGTTAAGAACCCTGGTTGTTCTTGCAGAAGACCCAGGTTCAAATCCCAGCACCCATATGGCAGCTAACAACTGTCTATAACTCCAGTTCCAGGGGATTTGAGCGCCTCTTCTGACGTCCGTGGGCATTGCATGACACGGGTACACTTACCTACATGCAGGCAATACACGCGTACACATTAAAAAAAAAAAAAAAAGACGTCTGATATACCCAGCAACTGTATGGGCATGGGGTGGTAGTGCTGGGGATGTAGCCCAAGGCCTTGGGCATGTTAGGTAAGTGTGCTACCACTGAGCCACACCCTAGCCCTCAGATACATTTCTTGATTAATGAAAATGGCCAGTTAGAGTTTTAGATTAATTGGGGCTGGTTTTATCCAAAGCAGGAGGAAGTGGAGACTTTGTACACCTGAGCCTGGTTGACACAGGGACATCACCCATGGAGAAATACTTGGCAAACTCAACAGATGCTCAGAAAGACCTGGGGTTTATTCAGACTTGTCACTGGTTGGTAACTGAGGGGATGGGTCTGTCTCTGCACCAGCACAGAACCTAAGCATGGGTGTTGTAAACCTAAGAAGCAAATGAAATAAATTTCGCTCAGGACCTGAGATCATAGTTTTATTTCTTTGGTAGTTTTTATATATTCATGTGGCCATAAGAGGAAACCAATTTGTAGTAAATAAACCAATCAGTGACTGCTTGAAGTCTCTAGCTTGGACTGTTTTCTGCTCCATAAGTTCCATTCCCAGCATCCTTTCTTACTTGCTCTTCACCTTGGCTCAGAAACTGTAATAAGAGCTCCAGGAAAAGCAAACCTAGGCGGGTATTGGGAGTGCTCCCAGCCAGCTCGGGAGGGGCAGGTCTGTGGGACCGAGACAGTCAGCAGCAAAGGTAAGGGTGGGTGATCCAGGCACAGCTGGATCTCAAAGGAGATTCCTCAGAGTGGAATTCTGAAGATGGCCGTGTGAGCAAGCTCTCCTTTGTCAGGTGGCTGCCTTAAGTAGTGTCGCTGACATATGTTGGCTTTGTTAGTATGAAAATGAAATCAAGGTCCCAGGACCTCTAATCAAATGCCCTGGTGGTTCTGTTGCCTGTTAGGCCTGGGTGTCCTAGCAGCAGGACAGTGTGATGCCAGGTCAGTCCAAGACAGAAGCAGAGGGTGTGGGGCCTGTGCCAACAGTGGCGTTCATGGGAACTGCCTCCTAAGGCTGACGCTTGGTGAGCCACTGTCTTAAGAGCCACGGCTCCCAGGCTTCCCGCAATAAAGGAATCAAAAGGAAACTGGGTGCAAAAGGCTATTTTAGGAAAGCTTTTATTGCAAATTCGATTCTGCATATTGATTTTTGGGAGAAAACACTAGGAGTGCATCTTTCCCGAGTACAGAATATACACGGCAGCAAGAGACAATTTAGTTGCGTTAAGAACAGGATTATTTTCAATCAACACTTTAAGTCACTGTCACTTAAGGAAACGCAAAGATTTAAGGCTGTGATCTTGCAGGTTAATAAACTGTTTTCCTTCTTGGAAACACTGTTTGCTTTAGTAGGATCAAATGGGAATTTCAGCATCTGATTTCTGAGCATTGCCTCCTGTCACTGGGTGCCAGCGGGCAGGTGGACACCTTAGGGAGGTCCAATCTGGGCATCCTGGCTGGCTCTACTTCGGGCCAGAGAAGGGTGTAAAGGTCTTGTCACAGCCTGCCATGCATGCTTCGATTTCCTCCACGGTCCGGGGCACACAGGTCAGCAGCTCCATGCCGTTGTCAGTCACCACCACGTCCTCCTCGATACGGACCTGGGCCACACCCACAAGTTGCCATCATGACCACGCTGGCTTCGTTTGTCACATTAGTGGCTCCACCCGACCTCAGCCTGACCCTGCCATCTGGAAGCAGCTTTCTGAGGGACAGGCACTAGTCTCTAACACGACAGATTGGGCTCCAAACAGATGGGGCCCCCAGAGGAAGGCTCTTCCCATGGTCATTGGATGTGCTCACCTTGACCCTGCCAAGTAGTGGGGAGCCCCCTGTCAGCTGGGGATTTTTGAGAATCTGCCTTCCTCTTGAGAGGTGACAACCCATCTAAAGGGGCTGGGCCATTCCTTCTCAAACCGAGTCAGTACTGCCCTGGGACAAGGTGATCAGCAGCAGTGGGGTGTGGACATTCTGGAACTTGGAATGTGGGGCCCCAGGTACTTACGCCACCAAAGTTGCGAAAGCGTTGCAGGACTTCGTGGTTAAAGAAGCAGGCTTGGGCAGGGTCTGCCAGGGCTTGGTCCAACAGGTGGTCAATGAAGTAGATGCCTGGCTCCACAGTGAGCACCATGCCCGGTTCCAGGTGCCGTGCTGTACGCAGGCTCCGCAGGCCAGGCTCATCGATGCGCTCCACACCCTGTGGAGAGAGGAAAGGTGGGAAAACCCAACTGACGGTCCCAGGGCTGGCCAGTGGGTCCACTGCCTCAGTGGGGGGGTAGCCCTCTGGGCTCTGACCAAGGCGCATCCAGCCCATACTAACCCTGCTCTCCTGGGCCACAAGCCCCTCCACCAAGACCCTCTGCTCTGCACAAACCTCTAGATCTGGGGCATTCTGACCCTGGCTACACTCAGAACTGCCTTCAGGATCCACAGGCACACATGCAGGGCAAGCTGCCCAGGTAGGCCTACACGGTTGGCTGGGTGTCTGGCTGCTCTCACTCAGGCCCCTCTGCAGGTCAGAAGCCAAACCAGGGAAGCCAAAAAAGCTCTTAGAAGGCTGCATGGCCTCCAGGGCCACGCCTTTCCTTCCAGGCAGCTCAAGTGTAAACTGGCCCTGACTCCCCTGGGCCAAGTCTCAGCTCCTGCCCCCACCTCCCGCCCCCAAGAAGGGCAGGAGGAGGGACAGGTGCTGTCATCAGTAAGGGCCTGCCACCACCAGCCCTGATGCCTAGGTACCTGCTTGTGTCCGGCCTGGTGGTATGGCTGCCAGAGGTCCACTGGGCCCTACAGCTGGGCCCTGGGAAACTGTCTGAGTCCCTTCGGGTCCCAGTGACTGCTGCTTCCTGCTGAGGCCCAGTCTGCCTTGCCCTTCTGCCAGCTCCCTGGGGTACCCATCCGGCCTGTGGCCAGGGCCTCTGAGCGAGTGGGCAGCAAGCAAGCTTTCTGATGAGGATCTGAGTTTGCCCTGCCCTGCTTGTGGCTCCCCCCAGGACCAGGACGCCCAGCTGCTGGAGATGGAGCTGTCATTTCTGACTGTTTGGGGGCCAAGAACATCAGACTTCAATTAGTGGTTCACGTAAGGTAACCAGAAACAGGCTGGCTCAGTAGGGAGGGCCGGGACTGGGATTCCACGAGGGTGGGAACAGCCACCCTGTCCTGCTGTGAGCAGGCCAGGATCAAGGGGCACCAAACACCATGCCTCTTGTGGCTCATGCTCTGGGAAGACCCTGGCTGGTGCCGTCTCCAACCCCACAAGACTTCTTCTGGGATGCCAAGCTTGGAGGCTGGGGGGTAGGGAGGGATATGTGGGTTAGGGGCGTGAGGAGGAAGAGTCCTCTGAAAGTTTCAGGCCTCTGCGTGCCAAGTGCGAGGTGCTGTGGCAAGGGCAGGAACCCGTTTCCTGCCTGAGCTGGATGTGCTAGGTTTTTGCTCCTGAATTTTCCTGTTGCCACCAAAGCCTGCAGCTTCCCTTCAGCATCTTGTTCTTGTCCCTTTTCTTTGTGCCACATCCTAAGAGCTTGCCCTTTCTTTCCAACCCATGCCTGTGAAAACCAGGTGCCCGGTGAGGGCAGAGGCCTGACCAGGCCATATCTCTTGGATTTTTCTCTTCCTTTTGTGGTGTTGGAATGCAGGGCCTTGTGCATGCTAGACAGATGTTCTGCCACTGAGCTACACCTAGGGTACCATGCTAACCTGCTCCATGGATATGGGATGGAGGGTAGTGACAGCTTTGCTGAAGAATGGCGAGACGAGCTTTCTGCCACTTGGATTTTAAAATCACCACTCCAACTGGGCCTAGTGGAGACTGGAAGGGATTCCGGGGGGGGGGGCGCTTAAAGGATATACCCGTGCCAGTTCACAAGCTTAGTCACCCTGTCACAGCAGTGGCTCCCTCCTAGGGCCTGCTGGGTGGGGGCACAGAACAGGGCTAGCTGATCTCCAACAGACAGAGCCGAGGTTGCCTAAAGGCCCGGTGCAGGGACAGCACATGCCCCCTCTGGCCAGGGCTGCCAGCCACACTAGGGGTACCTATCCATGCCCGCCTCTGCCTGGGTAGAGAGCCCAATGAGGCCTCAACTTTTACTGCGCTCCAAGCAGAAGAGACCCAGATGTGTCTGTAAGCCTGAAATAAAACAAATGACTTTTATAGGAAAAGCCATATTTTTTCTACAGTGTTTATCTGTCAGAAAAATAGACTCTGAGCACAAAGGGCTGCTTACTGGAAAAGATGAAAACAGTTTGCTGCCAATTTTCTTTGGTGGAAAAAAAGTACTTTGGCGACTAATGAATAACGAACCTCAACTAACAATGTCTGGAAGGGCCTGCTCTTGGCTCCCTGCATACAATGGGATGGACAGAAATTAGGAAATTAAAACTGATTTTGTTTCTCCAAATTTAACTGTTTACACTTGAGAAAAAAATAATTGAATAATAATGCTTCTCTTGAGCAATTTTTCCCCCCAAAATCATTCTTAGTGCTTTCAAAATACCCCACAGCCAAGAGGCTGGGTCTAGTCTTGGCTAACTGGCTGGTGGGCCCCAGGGTGTGTGCACCAGTTGCACAACCAGCCCCCCTGCACGGTGGGCGCTAGGCCAGGCTGGACGGCAGGGATGGGCCCTGCAGGGCTGTAGCCACCTGCCCAGTACAGCCTCCCCAGGGCCCTTGGGCACCCGCTGGGTGGGCCTTTGAGAGGTAGTGGTAAGAGAGGTCTCAAGAGGAAGCCCTGTCTGGAGACGCCCTACAAGCCTTTCTCCCCTACCAGAGGTCTCAAGAGTGCATGGGCACAGACGAGTTGCAGGGTCATGGGTGTTGGCCCAGGAGCCTTGGAGGTAGAGGACAAACCAGCTACAGAGTGGGAAAGCGGTCTGCTGCAGGGCTCCTGAGGGGCTGAATAAATGAAGCCAGGCGCAGGGCATGAGGCATGTAGTGTACTCCCTAAGACCTGGCTTCAGTCCAGCCACCCTATGGCGACCCTGTGCACAAACACTACCACATAGCATGTGTCTTGGGCTATGGATCCTTGTGGATCCATACCCTGCAGTGTCCAGGGCCCCGATTCCTCTCTGAATCATACGGAGCCTCATCCCTCCTGCTCACTATCCTCAGCTTCCCCCGAGAGCCCCACTCTGCTTGATGAGGGTCGGGCCACTGGGCTGATGGGTCCACACTGACCTCAGGGTAGCCTCCCACATCGTGCACGTCCAGGCCCAGAAAGTGACCGAGCCCATGTGGCATGAACACTGCTCCCAGGTGGACCTGGAGCATGGCATCCACACTGCCACTCAGGAGGCCGATGCGGGTCAGTTCCTCTAAGTGTATGCGGTCAGCCAGTCGGTGCATATCAGGCCACCAGACACCTGTTGGTTCAAAGAGAGGCTGCGGTGAGGTGAGCCAGGGCTCCACGGCACAGACTGAGGTGAAGGCACAGACTGAGGTGGATCTGAAGTGAGGGTACCATATTGGGAGCTGAGTGTGATAGGGCCCAGACCCCGCTCAAAGCTCAGAACCCCGAGACCCTCTGTCCTCACACTGCAGAGGCAATCTCCTGCTGCCCGAGGACTGGGACCTAGCTCCAGCCTGTGCCACATCCACCCTAACCAATGTGTTTCTGGGGCTATGGGGGCCCAGTCCTGGGGCCTCGGGGGAGACAAGCCCACGTCTCCCCCAAGAACAGATGTGAGTAGTTCAGGTCCAAAGGAGGCCTCAGAGTTTTGGCCTAGGAGAGGCCATCCCTGCACACCCCAGAATGGCTGAATCACCCTGGAAGCCACTGCAGGAGCAAAGGTTTCTGGGTGAAGGTACACCTGGCATGGCTTCATGCACTGGCGGGCAGGGGTCTGGAACCATCTCCATGGTAGCTTGGATGTCCACACCGCTAATCAAACTCATCTCTGCCCCAGGTTTCTGGGGCAAAGGTCACTTGGGGGAAAGCCTCCCAGGCACACAGCTTTGGGGGCCACATGAGCTCTGTGGGATTGGGGCTAATCAATGCTGCTTGGACCCTAGGGAGCCTCCCTTCAGCCTCTCTCCCCAAGAAATCATTAGACAAGGACCCTAGGCCCAGGGAAGCCTCCCCATGAGGACAGCCTAGGTCACAGCAGTGAGCGAGCCAGACGTAGACAGCATCAGTTCCTGCAGTACCTACCTCCCAGCCAAGTTCAGCCCCAAGGGTGGAACAACTTTCACCCCCAAGGGCCTCCCTGCCATGTCCTGCTGTGGCTTGGAGGAGCATGGCTTGTCCTTGTATTGCCCCACCTCTGATGACCAGTATGCAAGAGGGGAGGGCTGAGAACCATGTGGTTCAAGGCCCTACAAGATCCTCAACTGGAAAGGGCTGGGCCCTGAGGCTTAAAATCCCAAGCCTCCACAGGTGGTGATGGACCCCCTGGCAAGGCTGGGGGTCTAGAGCCTTGAGTAGATGTTGGGACTGCAAGGCTAGCTCATAGGGTGGTGTATGACTCATGGCTCAAGGTGTGGGTGTGGAGATGGGGTGGGAAGTGGTGGTTCCCTGGTTGGGGCAACCTTCCTAGGGTCTGGAATTTGCTGCCAGGTGGGCCTGGGGTGACTCTCGATACTGCTGCCTCAGGTCTGGGGAACAAAGAAAGCCCTGGCTGACCCAGTTTGCACCCTTGTGGATGGGGGCTTTCTCCAATGGCTGGCATTGGGTAACTGGTATCCCAGTTTGGTCATTCATGTGCTGTGTGACCTAGGCAAGCTCCCTTGCCTCCCGAGTCACAGGTGCTGCCTCTGCCAAAGAGCCAGAAAGCTGGCCTGTCTCGTGTCTACAAAGACTGCTTTCAGTACTTTTTGATCACTGTGCTCTGGGGGTGCAAACCAAGTGCTGCTGTTCTTTCCTAAGACCCCAGGGGTCAGTCAGTCCCGGATAGTTCTATCCTGCCCCATCAACCCTCTCTCCTGGAGGACTCTCCAGATCCTTGGGGTCTCAACATCAAGACTCCCCCAGCCATCTCCATCCCCACTGCTTCTCCCTGCATGTTGCAGCCCAACACTCCCACAGACAAATCTGCTTAATTGCCTCTCGTGTTTCCCCACCAGAATAGTGGTGAACCCAGACTCAGCTTGGCAAATGCTCCTCAGGCCGGCTTGCTCTGAGTTCAGATCCTACAAGGGTCCAAACAGCTGTGTTCACTCAGCTCCCAGTCAGCCTGACTCTAGCTATTTCTCCTGCATGGGGGTAACAAAAGGAGAGCCTTAGGAGAAATACAAGTAGCCTCCCAGGCTGGCTGATTTCAATGGTGGAGCCACAGGTTTGGCTGGGCCTTGAGAATGGGCATTGGGTAGGCATCATGCTTTATGATATCTCCTGGGGGGCTGGAAGAGCCTGTCTGGATGTACAGCCTGGGGCCCCGTGGCACCTGAGTTTTCCTCGGCCTGCACACTCCTGGGAAGGCCTTGCAAAGGGCAGCACTCTTGGCCGCAAGTGGGGACTTTCTGCCTGTGTGTGGTTAGGGTTGTGACAGCAATGAAACCTCCAGCAACTTGACCTCAGCATCTGGCATGGAAGGTAGTTACGACACGCACGGCTGGAGCAGAGCCTCTCGTGTGTGAAGGTTACCATCCTTGGGCTAGGCTGAGGCTGGCACAAACCACTCCTGGGCTTCTCCCATATCTGTAGCCCACAGGAACCTCAGAGGCCCAGGGCCTCCAGCAGGCCCCCAGCAGATACTGGGCACCCTGTGCAGATCTGGTGGAGGCTGCTTTGCTCTCCCACTTCATCCCTTTTGCTCTCTGCTAAATCTTGTTGGCTTCTCCCACAGAATAATCTCTCCGGAGCCTGGGTCCTGCCTCTCCCAGACAGACCACTGCCCCATCTCCTTCCCTTAACAAAAACTCTGGGTACCACTCAGGGACATAAAACCCAGCAGGCCTTGGTATCCAGCCTCATTCCTTCCCCACTTCTAGGGGGCACAGCTAGACCAGGGCAGCAGCAGACCATGCCGTGGGCCATCCTGAGGGCTGTCCCCCTGGCTGAGACTATCCTATCAAGCCCCCTCGGGTTGCGCCTCTGATTGAGGTACTTTCTCCAGAAGTCCTGTCTGATTCCTCCTTCCTAGGCTACCAGACCTTTCTGCCACAGCACTGCCATAGCACAGGATGGGCCTATAGCCAGGACCTGGGAGGGTGTGGCCTAGGCCTTGCTCTGTGGCTGGCACTTGCTAAGTGTGAGGAGTCTGTGGAATCCTGGCCTCCCCCATGGCTCTCCTGAAGCCAGTACTGGGAATGAATATCCCTGGGTTCATGTGTGCTCAGAGCCCAGGGTAGGCAGGGTATCCTGGAGGTTAGTATCCTACCACCTACTTCATGACACTGGGGCTCAAGAGAGATGAGAATTTCAATGCCCTGGGCTAAAGATGTTTCCAGAATGGCCCTAGACTTCTGCTGGCTCCCTGTTCCACCTGGTCCCCCTCAGCAGCACTCTGATGGGCTCAGAGTTTGCTGATGACAGGACGAGGGAGGCCCCTCAGAGCCTCAGCAGCATCCATCACAGCCCCAGGCTTCGTGCCCAGAGTGTGACAGCCCTGGGGGACTCCCAGGCCCAAGCAAAGCCAGGAAGGCAGCAGAGGCACCCCTGGACTACATGGTCAGACAAAGAACTCACTTCATCTGTGGACAATGGCCCTCCTGGGATGGATGACGTGGGAGCCAGGCCCGTGGGGTGTGGGAGTGAAGGCATGGGGCCCCGGTCTCAGAGCAGGCACTGAGGGCTGCAGGGAGCAGGCTGCACGGCAGGCCAAGCTGGCATAAGGCCCAGGGCCTCTGGCCTAGCCCACCCTGCAGTGTCTGCTGCAGGCCCCTAGGGACCCATTCACCCTGCAGAAGGACAGGGAGCAGCATGCGTCCAGGCTGCAGGCGCCTAGATGCTGCTGATGAAGTGGAGGCAGAGCTGTTTCGTGCATACTCCCTGAGGCGCTTCCCTCCAATCTCTGGCAGACTGCCCACGAGAGTGCTTGGAGGTAGGCAGAGAGTAAGAAGCTCGCCCTCCATTCTGCAGCGGGTGGGAGTGGTGAACATTGAAGCTAAGACAGCCCTCCCTGGTCTGGCTCCTGCTGCTGAGGGCACCAGTTAGGGTAACATGAGGTCCCTGTACCACTGACTGTTCAACCCCCATATTTCTCACCATTTCTAAGGACAAAGGCCAACAGGAAGTCTAGTCACTTGGTCCCACCCCTGCCTGCCTGTCTGGCACAAGGGAGCCAGGAAAGGTGACACTCCTCCTCCAGGTCTACAGGAGACACATACTGGGTCAGCTGTGGGAGTACTACTCTGTGCCCCTCCCCCACCTGGTCATCCCCCTGGTCTTCTCTTACCTTTAGGCTCATTTTGGAAGCTAGGGCCCTACCAGTCACTGAGAGTCCCTCTCACTTCATGTTCATACACGGCCACCCTGGGGCAGTGCCAGAGCCAGGAGTATGGGGTGTTGCACAAAACTACATGGGCTGCACATGGAGTAGCAGGGATAGTTCACACGGTAAGGGATACTGGTGCCTTTATCCACCATGATAGGAATAGTGGTCCCAAGGGGGTGCTGAGTGTGTGTGGTGACTGGATGTGATGAGGAGACATGGTGGGTGCTGGGAAGTGGTTTTGCACACGAGGCTTGGCTGCTTGTAAGCAAAGTGTGGGGACTTCAGTGCCAGGGCCACACAGTGGCAGGAGAGCCTTGGGACTTTAGGAACAGCCTTGCAGTTGCGGCTAGCAACTGTGGAGTCCAGCCCACTCCTCTTCATCAGCACCTTCCTATCTCCCTTCATAATGGCTGGGAGTTCACCAGGCTTACTGACACCACAGAGGGCCATCTATACAGGGCGGGCTGTTAGCCCTGCAGACACCAAAGCCACAGTGAACTTGGCTTCTACCCAGCCAGTAGCCAGTGTGGTGGACAGTGTTCTCCCTGATGCTGAAGCCGCCTACCCACCCTGCCCACATTCCTGCCCACTCTACAGCCAACCCAAGCTCAGCCCTCTTCCCTTGCTCTCCAAGTGACAAGGAGTGACAAGAAGGACCCTCCCCCTCCCGCCCCAGGATGTGGAGCCAAGGCCCACATTCCTCAATCCCCTGGGGCTGTGTCCACTCGTCCATGTGTTTTCTGATCACTGCTCCTGCCTCTCCCCTGGGCGTCATTGTGGGATTTCCTGCTTGTCTTTATTTACTCTTCCTTGGAAGGTTGCAGGAAGCAGTCGGGCAGTCTCAGTGGGCGTTTGTCTTGGCCCAGGAGCTGAACCCACAAACCCAGGGGCATTTCTGCTGGGATGGGCAGGGGGCTGACCTAGCCATGGCCAACTTGCCACTATGGGGAGGCGATCTGTCCCCATCTGCTAAGTAGCTTTACGACATAGGACTCGACCCAGTGGGCTAGCCCTACACTGTATTACCAGAAGAGAGCCTGGTTCCACCCTTAGGGACTCTCAGTGTGTCACAGTTTGATAGTTTGGGTGGTAGAACATGTTGGGTATGGCTAGGGTCTCTGTTCCACCTCTCCCACAAAGGATCCTCAAGCTTCCTGCATGGGCTTCCCTAGGTCAGGTCTCTGCCAGGCACAAAAGCCCAGTGGTGACAACAGTGGGACTCTGGAAGGCCCTGCCTCACGTGCTCTGTAGAGATGGATTCATGGGAGCTTGGCCCGGGTGCTCAGGCCTACTGGCTGCCCCAAGGAGTTGAAATGGCCAGGAAAGGTGACCAGGTAAGTGCGGGCATCCAGCCCCAGGCCTCTCTCAGTGCAAAGTAGGGACCAACTTTGTAGGACTGGCTACTTTCTGGACAGAACTAGAGTGGACTGACTGGGCCTACTGTATTGCCTAAGATACTTTACCTATGGATATACTGGCCAGGTCCTGCCCAGAGCCACTAGGCTTTGCAGCAGTGAACTCCCTCTCCAACTTGCACCTCGAATATGCGCAGCTCTGAGGCCTGGCTGCTCTTCTAGCCTCCACTGTGGAGTGTGGCAGACAATCCCACACCCTTCTTTCCTGTGTGGCAGGCTGGGGTCCACAGGGATCATCACTCCATCCTCACATTATGACCAGTTGCTTCCTCACCATGATGTATGAGGGTGGCTAGGCACAGGGTGGCCCCAGGCCCCTCACACAGCCAGCTCTGCTTTGACTAGTGAGAGCATCAGCATCTTCTGGCCCAGTATTTCACTACTGCCCACAGATGTTCAAACATCCAAGATACCATCCAAGATGAGGGGAGAGCTGCCAGCTCAACCTATGTAATGTCACAGTTGTCTACAGAAAATGACTTGAGGCCAACATTGCATATACTGGGTGACAGATCCTGGCCTATCTCAGGGGCTGTACCCAGTGGAGGGTCTGCAGTGGGAAGATTCCCCAGTTTCTTGGTGGAGTGGCTGTATTTACACACCTTAGTAGAAGACACTCCACCCTACCTTCCCAGCTCAAACCCATACCCTCTGAAATACTGATCATTAAATAATAATCAATACTCAAAACGAGCAAAAATGCTCATCTGTGGAGTAAGGACAGGAGACGATGTACCCCTTCATGACCGCTCCATGGATTCTGTGGTTTAAATGTCAAAAAGACATGCTATCCTCCCTGACCTGGTGGAGGGTGGGTGCCTGGCGTCCCCTCTCTGTTTCCCTCTGGCAGCTTGATCGCAGATCTCGCCAGCGCATGCGAGCACAGGCCTTCCCTTATGCAAAGGGGCCGCCTGGTCTGCCTTTCCACCAGTGTGCCCTTGTATTGCCTTGTGCTAATGCTCAGAGGCACTGCTGCATTTCAACCAGCTGAGCCCGATGGCAGCTGCTAGCCCAGGTGAGCCCATCAATACTGCCACCCCTCAGGAGCGCTTTGCCTTTCAGGTTTTCCTTGTCTTCCTTTCAGGGCATATTGACTTTCTGTCTTTGGACTCCTCTGTCTTTCAAGCTTTGATTTCGCATCCTGAGTGTGGAAGGCTGTGGGGTTGGGTCCTGGTTCCAGTGTTCCCTTGCCTCCCCTTACCCTCATGGCTCCTAGCCTCGGGTGGGGGCTTGCAGGGCTAGACTGGAGGCCGCACAGAAAGGCCTGTTTCCAAAGGGCACTCTGAAAGTGACTGCTAAGATCCCCTCCACAACACACTGGGTCCTAACATCACAATTGTGGCTGTAAGTCATTCCAACAGTGGGCCACTGGGGCCACAGGGGACTATTTAGCCGAATGCTGAACCAGCAAGGCTTGGGGCCGCAGCATGCCACATCCTGGGGGGTTTTATAGCTCTGGAGCCCAACTTTTCTTTTTTAAACAAGGCTCCATGGAGATGTATGAATCTGAGCACCAGAGTCCCCCACTTAGAAATCCTTAGGAAATGCAGTCTCCAGGCCTGTTACAGCTGCACAGATCCTCAGGCTTCTACTCAACATCTCCAGATCACAGGAGAGGTGCCTGGCTACAGCCAGCCCTCTCTGGCCCTTAACGAAAGGGTAGATGCCAGGGATCAGAGCTGGCTGAGCCTACCCTGAGTGGACTGTGCTTTGTGACAGCGTGGGGAGCTGTTCTGGCCAGCTGGAACACAAGGAGACCACAGGGTTGGAGCCGGCCGGGCCTGGGCTCTCTGGGTCTGGGGCGTGCACTCTGTGATACCTTGGAGCCCTATTGTGTTGCTTTCTACATACATGGTGTGAGTACCCCTGCAGAGGGAGGCCTGGGGCTGCCATAGGGCTGGCTGCTTCTCTGAGAGAGCCTGTATGTCAAGAGAAGACAAGGAGCCAGAGCTAGAGGAAGCAGGGGTTAAGGCGGGATGACATTCTGAGCCAGGATCACATGTTCCCTCCCTGAAGTCCTTGTGGGGGCTTCATGTGGAAGACAGCAGCTGTGTCGTCAGGGCCTACTACTTACTCTTGTATGGACCTGTGGTACTCAATAACCTAAACCTGCTGGCAACCATTCTGTTGCTTATAACCAAAGATGCAGAGGCTGGTGCCTCAGTGGGATGGCTGTGCCACTTAGCAGAGAGGCAGGAAAAGCTGTCCCCATGGCAGGATGGAGCCTGGCTGCAACCAAACACATCTTTAGGTGGTACCCAGTAGCTACATGTCCCCAGAGGACATGGCCTCGTTGAGGGGAGTGCTGTGACTGGCACCTGAAAGTCGTGCTCAGGATGTAAGGAACCCAAGTCTTGCAGAGTGGGCTCAAAGAATTCCACAAGGCCATAGCCCCAACCACTCCCTTGCAGGGAGAGGCATTTGTACAAGGCAGGGCTCCCCATCACTGCTGGGTAAGGCTCTCATGCTGAAGGGCAGAAAGCTCAATGGCGGAGCTGTGGTTCAGTTTTGCAGGTGCACGGTCCCACCTCTCAGCATTTCCGGGGGCCTGGATTCATTAGGGAACATGACGAATGGTGAACAGGGGTCCCAGGACCCAAAGGTCCCAGAAGGAAGGCCAGAAAGTTAGTCTTGCTGGGAGCCACGATTTTCCCTACAGAGGACTGTCATGCAGTGGATGCCATGGGATGAGCTGCAGGGGGCTCTGCTGGCTGCCTAGGGCTGCACGGGAAAGACCCAAGTGGTGACCATTTACTGAAAGCTGGAGGGACAGCTGGCCACAGGGAGGACAATAGGCTCACCACCACCATGGAAGCAGGGAGAGTGACCACAAGAGATGACTAACATGTTGGGCAGTCTCAGGTGCTTTCCATGGCTCAGCTTAAACCTCATAGGGTGCTCCCTCCCCATGCACAGGCCAGGAAACAGCCCCCAGGGGAGGAGCTTCATGAACAAGGTCATAGCATTGGGTGAGGTCAGAACCTGCTCCAGTGTTTAACCAGAAACCAATGTCCAAAGCTGGCCTGACCCTTCCTGAAGTGGACTCTGTGTTGGGACTGGGCAGGGGATGTGCTGATGACCTAATGACCAGCGGGGGTGGAGGGATGTGTAAGGAGAGGTGACCAGACAGGAGATGGGGTGACATAGGGCTGAGCTCCCAGATCCCAGGCTCTCTCTGTTCCTGACTGGTGGTCAGCCCTGTGTCCTAGGAGTGCCCTAGGGAGTCTCGTAGCACCTGGACTCTAACTGGCCAAGCATGCAGAGATGCAAACCAGACTGCAGAACCCGCTTTTTGCAGGTGCCACCACTTAGTTCCCCTCTTCCCCTGCCGGGCAGATCCTCGGCTGACCCCACTCTCTTGCCCCTCACCTGGCTTCATGGTGCTCATGACTGCTCTGCAGCTCCGCAGCACTGCCTCGTAGATGGCCCTCTGGTCCTCCGTGAACTTGCCATTGGCAGGAAAGGAACAGGTGATGTCAGATGCAAAGCAGTAATACTCTCCACCCATGTCGAACAGGCTGTGGGGACAGAGGGGCATGAGGCAGGTGGGCAGCTGAGTCTACCTCATCTTGAGATGTGACCAGCATAGGGAGCTCCTTTCAAAGGAAGGAAGCAATGCAGAGACCTGGGCCTCGTGGTGCAGGCCTGTCGTCCCCACTACCTGGCAGGAGGACTCAATGTTCAAGGCCTGCCTGGGCTACAGAGTAAGTTCAAGGACAGCGTGGGAAACTCGACAAGACCCTATCTCAGAAAAAAAGGCAAAAAGTGGGCTGGAGATGTAGCTCAGTGGTAGGTACTAACTTAGCGTGCATGAGGCCCGGGGTCAACCTCTACCACTACTACTACTACTGCTACTACTGCTACAAAGAAGAAGAAAAATAAAAAAGGAAAGAAGGACAGACGAGAGGAAGGGGAAAAGGGAAAGGAGGGTTGGTTCAGCCTGTTCAGGGAACACAGAGGGAGAAGTCTGGCCTTAACAGACTTACCTGTTGGAATCTACTTAGAAAAAAATGGGATATTCATGGGAGAATAAACGTGTCTCCAGACCCCCTATGTGCCACCCAGCTTCCATATGAGCATAACAATAAGCATCCCAAGCCTGTCCTGCAACCAGCTCTGCTGAGGCAATACTTATGTAAGGGAGGAGAGGAAGAACTCTCAGGGGCTTGCGGCAGGATGCAGGACACACTTGCATGTGGAGAGCCTGGAAAGAACCAGTGGGTGGCTGGTGCCTCTGGCTCTGCTCAAGCTCTGGCTGGAATTGTCCTTCTTCCTGCTGAAGTAGGACAGACATGTCTCACCAGAGCCCGAGGGAGGAGCAGGGCAGGACTGTCAGAGTGTGGCCTCTTAATTAGTAGGCCTTTCCTGGGTACTGGTGGAGGGTGCTGCTACCTGACCCCCTTTACCCATCTGCCTAGAAACCTTGCATCTCCAGGTGGCTGAGCAGGGCACAGATGGTGTGGAGGACCTGCAGGAGAGGACAGAAGAGTCTTAGAAGCCAAGGGCCAGCAGGGGCTGGAAATGGCCAGGCGTGCAGAGTCAGGAGGATGGTGCTGCCCTTTTGGATACCATGTGACAGGGTTCTTCAGGTACAGCAGGGCACACACAAAGGGCCTGGGGCCCAACAACAAAGGCAGTTAAGAATCCCACCTTATGCAACTTCTGGGGTGGAGCAAGAAAACAGCTGGTGGATCCCGGCTTGGCTCCCAAGATTTCCATGGCATGGGGTCACCCCAGAGGGTCAGAGTGACTAAGGCAAGGGGTGCACACACAGGGCACCCCTTCCTGACTAGTCCCGTCTCAGCACCCCAGGAAGCCATTACAACAGAGACAGAGCAAGGGCCTATTCTCAAAGTTACTACATTAATTACATTAATCCGCCTCCTGCAGCAGCCCAGGCCAGTTCTGTTCAGTATGGAGGGGCGGCATGATGTCCATCTGCAGCCACACACATGTTGGTCAGTCATAGCTGTGGCTTCCTTTAAGAGGACTTCTCACCCAAATCCCACTCTAACGGCAACCACAAACATTCCAGAAGCGGCCAGGGTGCTGGCCTTTGGGGTCTGGTGCCGAAAGACAGAGTAAAGGAGTAGGGTGGGCCCCTGACCCTTCATGTAGAGCAAGGAATTGGGCCATGTGGTGTGCTGGGCAGGCAGCACCAGCCACCACACAACAGATTTTAAAGGAAAAACTCCAATCAAATGCTTAGGATCCCTGGACGCTATACGAGAATCCAAAGTCCTTGGCCAGGCACTTTTTAATCTCCTGTCTCTTCAGATTGCAAAACACCATAAACAGTGTCAACAGTGCAGAAAACACAGATAACATTCTCAGGTGATTCCCAGGGGTGGGCAGAGCCCCCCACTAGCATGACATGGAACTTAGGTCAAAGTCTCCGGGGGACCCTGTGTGGAGCAGACTCAAGGGACCTGGGCCTCCCTTCAGGGGGACCCACCCAGCTTAGTTATATGAGGGCGATGAAACAGGAGAGGCCTCGAGACACACCCAAGCGCCTGCTCCCAGGGTGCAGCAGCTCTTGGGGTCAGCAACTGCCTGAAGGTTTACACCTTATGTAGGGTGTGTTCTCAGATCTGGCCTATAGGTTGGGGCAAATGGAAGGCCCAGACTGAAGGGAAACTGAGGTTCTCAACATGAGCCCAGAAAAGCCCTCAGTTGAGGGAAGATAAGCAACTCTGAGTTACTTTGTCCTGACTCTGATACTCAGCCTTTGGGGCCTCAGTTTTCCCACATCTAAAATGGGAACATAACCCTCACTGTGAGGGCTCTTAGGGTCGGTGTAGACAGCAGCGGGGACAGGGGTGCATTCGCCTTTGGGGCCTCAGTTTTCCCACATCTAAAATGGGAACATAACCCTCACTATGAGGGCTCTTAGGGTCGGTGTAGACAGCAGCGGGGACAGGGGTGCATTGGGGTCCCAGCCTTGGTTTGCTGAAAGAAGCACACATTTTTATTTGGGCTTCCTGGAGTCAATAAGGGAAAATGCTTTGTGGTTTGTTGGGTTAGAACATCCAAGAATAAATGGCCTGGGCAGACAGGACAGGGCCAGGCGCATGGTCGGGGGGGCACTGATTCCTGGGAGGTGCCATACGAAGGGTGACCTGCAGCCGCCCCTGTGGGAAGAAGGCTCTATTGGTGCTGATCTAAAGAAAAAACAGAAATTGAACTATTTTTAAAAACCAGGAAGCTCACAAGATCACATGAAATGCCGGAATCATCTAGAACAGTACTAAACAAGATTCTTTGGGGGCACACCAGACCAAACCAAGTTCTCTAAACCTTCTTCAATAAAACACAAAAAGATGAGATGGTGGGTGTTATGATTATTTCAGTCAGTCTGACTTTCTCTTCCAGCTTTTAGAAGACTCCGATTTCATTTTTGTTAAAATCATCCACTTTCTGGAGAAGGAACTATATACCCAACCAGCCAGCTCCATCCTGCCCAGTGACACTTGGGCACGGGCTTGAGTCTATTTTTGTGTTCTCAGTTCCCCATCTTTTTCTGCCTCTTTTTTGTTGTTATTTATTTTTTTAAATCTCCACTTAGTACTTCTCTATGAATAAGCGATTCCGATTCAAGCCATTTGGAATCCAGGGATGACAGCCATCACTTTTATAAATCACCTCCCTCTACTTTTTCTATCTGCTGAGTCCATCCTTTCCATGCAAAACGACATTGGAGAATTCAGTCATTCTTGGCTCAATCCAGAATGTAAGCTCTCTCCTTCCTGGCTGTGTGGGGACACCCACCAGGGACACTACCATCATTGGCCGAGTCGCTTTGTGTGATAATCTGAGACATCTGGGAGATTACATGTCTCCAGGCAGTATGCTGGCGTCTCTTCTCCACATGTGTTCTTATGGCTGTGGTTCTGGCTGGGATGAGTGGTTCTATCTTCTCCTGGCTCTTCCTGGGGCAGCTTCAGGCCCGGGCTACCTGCCACCACTGGCCACCCAGACCTTCCCTGGGCCCTGCTCAACTCCCTCAGCCCCTGTGCAGGGACCAGCCAACCCAGAGGCAGAAGGCCTTCAAGGGAAATGCTGTGGTGTTTATACAAGGGCCACTTTGTACTGGGCTTCTAGCTTCATTTAAATTTCCTGAGTATGCAACACAGCGCTCAGCTGCTTCTCACCCCAGACTGACATCTTACACGCGCATGTGCTAAGCATGCTTGCTTTGCTGCCTTGTGCAGATGCCCCAGTCGGCATCCGAGGCTGAGGTGGGGGGAGTTCTGAGCGGCAGAAAGTACTCACTTACCCCCAGACCTCAGCAGGAAGGAGATAGAACAGGAAGGCAACTGGTCACTGTGTTTCTGTGGCTGAACGTGACCCTTTAGACTGGCCATGGTAGGCATCAATCCCTCTGGTGTGTAGGCCAGCTGCCCACTTCCAGCTCTCAGCCAGATCTCTCTGCATGCAGCCCTGAGGTGTGGTAATCAAGGCTATCACTCGGGGTCCTTGATGCACCTCAGGAACCCATAGAATGAACCTCTTCCCAGAGACTCCCTAAGCCCACTACACCCGCACCCCATGCCAGCAGCAGGCTCTGTCTCCAAGCCTCAGAGCTAGCAATCCCTGGAGTACACTCTAATGAGAACAGCCCTCCTGTGCCAGGCTCCTCTTGTGTCTGCAGAGAACTGGCACGCCCCTGTAACAGATGTCGCAGAGATGCAGAGAAACAGCACCAAGCCAAGGGCACCACACAGCAGCCTGCATTAGAGGTGGGCATTCGGCTGCTACCTGCCCCAAGGGCTAGGCAGCCAGGGCAGTGGCTACTGTGGGTGGGGGGAGGCCAGCAGTCATTATCATGCTGACAGCACATGCTTCATTTCACTTTTTTAGTGACCAGTGTCTTGTGATGTCTGTGAGCACCCAGGCTGTCTAGACTAGCACTTTTTAAACTGTGGGTTGTGACGTCAATGGAGTGGGTGCGGCCACAAAGAAGTGACAAACTAACCAGAAGGGACAGAAAGCACCCGGGGAGGGTGTCTGCTTGCGGTGGCAGGGGCGGGGTACACATCTACAAGTGTGAGCACTGGTTAGAAGACCAAGGGTCTTTGGGGATGAGATAGGGTAGGCCTTGGCCAACTCATCTGGATAGACAGCTCACTAGGGCCTGTACCTGCAGGAGAGTTCTCCCGCCCCAAAGACAGGCATATCTGTGACTATGACATTTTCTGAATGGGGCCCCTAGTGGCAATCGAGCATCCCTGAGGAAATACAGCTGGGAAGGGGATATAAGCAGAGAGCTGGTTCTGGGTGACATTCTCTACACCCCATGAGGGCACAGGCACAGATAATGTGGGGGTTGGGGACCCCCCTCATCCTAGGCCCGCTCCACCTAGGCTCTTGGCCAGCAGGGAAGAGTCCCAGGCACAGACTCGGTGGGCAGACAGATGCCAGATGTACAACAAGGAATGGGCAGATTTGTTCTATCCCGATCAGTGCCCAAGTGATGCAGGGGGTCTGCTGAATCCCTGGGATCTCTAGCCCAGGGACA